ATGGAAAATACTAATTTCTCCCCACGGGTACCTCATGGGTCAACAGTAGAGCCAGAACAATTAGACCAACGCCATGGACCTCTACAACACTGGAGTTAATTAAGTAACTACGAGGCCCAGCCTCCTGCCCTTCAATTCACAGCCCAGCGCTCGGGGAGAGGAGACATGAACGGCTTCTTCCAAGCAAGAAACCTTCTGTCCTCACCCACTGCTGCCCGTCCTGCTGCTCCAAGTTCTGGCTTGGCTGCAGCCAAGTGTGGCACACCTAAAACATTTCTTCTACAAGAATTGTTTTAGGGGCTGGAGCAGCTCTGCTCCGAGGACAGGCTGAGGGAGCTGGGGGTGTTCAGCTGGAGAAGAGCAGACTCCGGGGGCACCTTATCCCTGCCTGCAGGGAGGCTGAGGAGGGACTTTGGACAAGAGTGTCCAGCGACAGGACAAGGGAAATGGGTTTAAATGGAAGGAGAAGGGGTTCAGGCTGGATCTTGGGAAGAAATTGTTGAGTGCGAGGGTGGCCAGACTCTGGACTATGTTGCCCAGAGAGGCTGTGGCTGCCCCCTCCCTGGAGATGTCAAGGCCAGGTTGGATGAGGCCGTGAGCAACCTGGGCTGGTTCAGGGCATCCCTGCCCATGGCAGGGGGTTTGATCAGATGATCTCTGAGGTCCCTTCCAACCTAGGGCATTCTAGGATTCTATGAATTTGGATTCCTGCCTCCCAGTAACCACGCTCATGCTTCCAGGCCAGCTGCACCTCCAACCCCATCTCACTCTGCCACCGGCGCTCCTGCTCTCGCTTTAGGAGGCTGCCCACTGCCTTTGCTTAGGAAGCTCCCTCTGCATCAAGATTCCCCTCTCGGCACCTGATCATTTAGGTTAGAAAAGACCCTTAAGACCATCAAGTCCAATCGTTAACTCAGCACTGCCAGTCCCACCACTGACCCGTGTCCCTGAGCATCACATCTACCCGGCTTTCCAATCCCTCCAGGGATGGGGACTCCACCGCTGCCCTGGGCAGTCTGTGCCAGGGCTTCACAACCCTTTCCATGAAGAAATTTTTACTAATATCAAACCTAAAGCTCCACTGGAGCCACTTGTGGCCATTTCCTCTTGTCCTATTGCTTCTTCCTTGGGGGAAGAGACCGGCCCCACCTCGCTACACCCTCCTGTCAGCGAGCTGTAAAGAGCAAAGTGGTCTCCCCTCAGCCTCCCTTTGATGTTGAACACACACACGTGCGTGTGCACTCAGCTGTCACACAAAAGTGAACATTACTTTTAGCAACAAAGTCTATGAAAAAATAAATCCTTTGCACAAAAACATACAAACTCATACTTTTAAAAAGTATGTACAGAAATAGCAAAAAAAATGAAACGTAGTCAATATCAAACAGAAATTCTGTCTGGTTTGGACCCTCCTAATTTCTCCAAAGCTTCACACAATTCAAAGCAGGTTGGAAGTAGGTGCTTTTAACACACCCTGTGCAAGGGGCAATTGCAGAACAGTGCCCGCGGCTCTGCTCGCCACAGTGTGCATCAGCAAGATGCTGGAGGAGCTCAGCCCGTGAACACGTGGTATCTGAAGCTCATCTGTGCTACTCCAGATGGATGCAGAATCAAACACCAAAAAGCTGCCACTTAAAATTTTTTAACTTCCTACAAATGTAAGCTGTCACAAAATACTTTTGCATTGTGTTCACACTACTGGGAAAAGCTGCCATTCTTTTATTAACAATTCTTCCCGGCATTACTCAGTCATTGCACATTAGAACCAGCAGCTGGAGAGTTTTGAGTGATAATGAAACCTGTAACAAGCCATCTTCAGCCGTCTTTTCCAAACAATAAGGGAATTAAAATTTCAATTTAAATGCAGAGGTTTGAAACACGCTTCAGTGGCAAAATTACTTCAATTAATGTGAGCAGAATACAAAGAACAGACTGCAGAAATGCGACGCGGAGCCCAGAAATGATGCCATTAGAGCGCCTGCATCAACCCAACCCGCCAACTGCAAAGGTCTAATTTCGACCGTACGTATCGCAAGGCTACGGGCAACGAGATTAATCAGCGCTCCAATCTCAGTGTGAGGGGGTACAAGCTCCTTGTCAGATCACTTTGGGCTTTTTGTAAGCCACGAGCATCTGTTTACCTCGAGGAATGAAACCAAAGGACAGAAAGATCTATACACTGACTCCGCAGCCCTGCCAGTTCAGTGATTATTTTACATAATATTCGTATCGTCTAAAAGGAGAGAGGAATTATCCTGCAGCCAGTGATTACAACCCCACGGCCTCACAGAGGCAGGGTTAACAGAAGATGGCAAAGCCAAAGAGCTCACAGCAATTTTTGTTTATGCAAAAGCTCCAAAGCCAGGCAGGTTACTATTTCTTTATCACAGGTACGCTCGTCATCAAACGAGAACTGCGAACGTCAAGGAACGGCTGAAATAAGGCGTTCAATTCTCACTTGAGGTTTCTCTGCGTTCCTTGCTATTAGAAATAAATAAATCTAACAGCTGCTTTTTAAGAAACAAAATGATAATGATATAAAAAACATACTCCCTTCTGGAAAAACCACAAAAGACACACAGAAAAACACAGAGACAACAAAACCCAGCACCGTACGCTGCAGAAGCCTGTACTGCAGGGAGGTCTAATCCTGGCTCCAGCTCAGAGCCTTGGGCAAACTCTCCGGCACACACATACACGTGTAGGCACACAAGCACGTATATAAAAAACTGCAACATATTTCAAACCACTGAGATATCCCAAACACACACACCGCAAACAGTTTCTAAAGTGTAGTGCATGATAAACCCTAAGTACTGTTATTTTCCTTCTTATGCTTCCTATCTTACATTCCACATAGGAAATTGAGTACTTTTTCCAGAATTTCCTTCTGAAAATAACTTTTCTGAATTTACAAACAAACTGGCCACCAAACTGGCAAGTCCATCAGGAAAAGGAAGCGCCAGCATTTCAACCAACACTGATGTTAACTCCAAATACTGCGGTTTTCCCCTCACGCCCCTAATTTACTACTTTATCTCTCATAACTGAAAATACCAGATGAACGTCGCACTCCAATATCCAAAACCAGAAACGTGACAAGAGTTTTGGCAGAGCCCAACTGCACTCTTCTCCTATAGGCTGCCTCGGCTCCCTGCATTGCTGAGCTGGGGTTAGGAATTCTAACGTGTTTTACCTAACATTTTATAAAGTAAAATAAAAAATTCCACCCTACCTTACACAACAGAAATGGATGCATTACCCATCCCAGAGAGCAAAGAATATGGTGGGAAAGAGAATAGATCATACTAAAAGACCAGTGAGACTCTAAAGAGAGTACGACTGAGAGCATTCCTGGAAGATGGTTTTAAAAAGGAAGAAAGGGAAAACTGTGACCAGGTTACAGAAAGATAATTGCACCAGGTGTGGCATGAAACAAGAACAAAAGCAAAAACCAGGAAGGTGACGGCAGAGTAAAATCAGACAAGGGGATGCGACAGCTACAACAAAAATCCAGATAAGGCTACACGTGCCACCAGAGAAAGGGATGAGGGGATTGACATCGAACTGTTGAAAAATGTTTCACAGGGAACAAGGTAAATTTCAGATAGTTTTATTTAAGGTAAAATGAGATAAAACTGAAAGAAGGAAATTAAAGTTCAAGGCTGGGCTCTAGAAATATGAGGTGACAACAGTAAGATTTTCAGCTTTTTATCCTGTTGAATAATGACTTATTAAAAAGAAGTGAAGAGGCACAGCTTAGAGAAATACAAAGGACAGTAAAGTTATAAAAAAAAATAAAATAACAAAAGCAAGTAATGAAAAGATTTCCTTAAAGGTATTCTCTAGCACACATAAAGAGAAATATGCACAGACATACTTCTTTTGCCTTCCCTTTCCAATCACAAACTGCTTTGGGTTGGAAGGGACCTCTACAGAACATCCAGCCCACTGCATCTGAGCCGCTGCTCCAGCACCGTCACCCACAGCCAGGTGCCCAGGCCCATATAACATACAGGTTGGTTTTGAAAATCTTCCACATACAGAGACTCTACAACCTCTCTGGGCAACCTGTCCCAGTGTTCAAACACTCTTACAGTGAAAACATGTATTCTTAAACTCAGCCAGAATTTCCCCATTTTCAATCTGTGCCCGGTTCTCCTCTTACGGGGCATCACTGAGAAAAGCCCGACTCTGTTTTCCTTGCCCCCTCCCATAATCCTTTTACAGCCGTCGGTAAGATCTCCCGAGGTTTCTTTTCTCCAAGTGAAGCTCAGTCCCTCAACCTCCCCTTACATGTGAGATGCTCCTGTCCCTGAACCTTCTTTGTGATCCTTCACTGGACTCGATCCATCTCTCTCTTGGATTGGAGATCCCAGAATTAGACTCAACACTCCATATGTCAGGACCAAGAGGGAGGATTCCCCTTGCCTCGTAAAATTTTTAATTACTGCTAAAAGACAGTTCCAAGAAAGAAAAGACTGGAGCTTGGTGACAAAGCTTGCTTGTTAAGTTTAGAAACAAGGGAAAGAAAAAAACTGATATTAGAAAAAATCAGCAAACTTCTACATCCACCACAAGATTGGAGTTGAAAGGTATGCTTATACAAAAGAATTGAAGAAGAAAAAAGACTTGAAAGAAGGGAGAAAAAAAGATGAAATAGGAGCTGGAGGTAAGTAGAAAGGATCAAGAATCCTGGTAAGAGACCTAGGCAAACACACCTAAACAGTGAAAAACCATCTCCCCTCAGAATAATGACTGAAGTTGTGAGCAGGTTCCTAGAGATGAAATAGGAGAGAAACTGGATAGCTCTTCCATAAAAAAAAATTGTTCTGAAATAACTGATAAGATATAAAGAAAGAAGACGATACAGGCAGATGTCTGGGTAAATTTATTTTAAAATAAAGCACCAAGTTGCATCAGCAGTTGGAAATCCTGTGTGCAGATCAAACAGGTAAAGAACTAGACCGTTACAGAAATCACGAGGTTCCACATCTTACCAGCATGTCCGTCGCGTTGAGGTAGCGCTTGCTGGCCATGCACTGCTCCAGCTTCTGAGGCACTTGCTTGATGTTCTCGATCTCATCCAGCAAATTCAGGACGTGTTTGTGCTCAATCCCTTCAATCCAGAGCTTGCGCAACTCATCCCGCTTGCAGTGCAGCAGCATCTTGCACGACAGCAGGTTCTCCTTCACCTACGAGGAACACGTGAAAGGATTTCATTAAACGCGTCCCTGCAACTGGCGCCTCTAACACAGATCAGCCCTTTATCAGGAATTCCAAAAATATCACAAGACTATAATCAAATCCAAGTTCCTTAAAATTTCTGGTTATTCCTTTGGCTGAAGGGAAACATACAGTAAATACAAACCAGAACTGCCTTCACAGTGAAATGGTTTTTAGCAGAAGTTTCGTGCCACCAGTGCAAATTTAACTGAAGTCCTGTAACATGAACAAACACAGGATCCTATTAATCACGACCAAAGACATATTTGCACCTTTTCCAAAAATCAATTCAGAATTTTGGCATACAGCAAGAATTCAATTTTCAGCGAAAGCAAATAAGCTGCTACTAATTTTTCCGCTGTAAACGTTTTCCATCTGCCTATTAAATCTTTTGGCACGTCTCCTTCTTTCTTCAAGTTTGGTGTCCATGTCTCGAAACGTGACTATCAGAAAGTACGACAATCTTCCCAATATTTCGAGCGATACCGGTTTTTTTGGTAAGAGGTATGATTTCATCAGAATAGCAGTTACGACACAGTTCAATTCAGCGCTTCCACTAATTATCAAGGCCATTACATCATCTAAAGAAACACCTTAGTGTTTAGTTCATTTTTGAGCCTCGTGCCATCCTGTCTACGAGGCAAAATCTTCATGATTCTACCCCGTTCAGGCAACATCAAGAGTTTTTCTTCTCCATTCTTTCTGCCCAAATGCACAGCCTGCATCCTCTGCTTTCAGGTTCTCCCACTACCCTCTGGTAAGGTCGGTCTAACCTAGCTGTTCTTGCATAATGCAAATCAATACTACATATTAAAATGTGGAAGCAATTAGCAACACAGATTCACACATTGCTTTCACACCACTCTTGTTTTTGTGATAAGTTATGAATACTTAGGGTTCAACCTTTTCTCAGGCTGAACTCTCACTGAATTACACATGAAGAGAAACTCTCCGAAGTAAGCCCTTCAATTTATTTTTAAATAATGAGCCTTCAAAGCACTCCAGAAATCCCACTTCAGCTGCACATTCTCCTACCTCGTTCATCTAAAGGCAGTTTAAAAAAAAACCAAATAAAAAAAAACCCAAACATGCAAAACACAGAGATGGACCAAAATACAAACAACCAGTAAATAACAAAAGCTACATAAACCAGCCTCTCTCCAGAGTCAGAAGAGACTAAGATTTCACTACAGTAACACGGCACTCCGAAAAGTCTGACATAGAAACAGCACAGAAAACCCTCAGCCAACAGAAAAGCTAATGTGAGAGTGTCACAGCTTGCTGCAAAAGCAGAAGCAAACTAACACACGTACAGAATTCGCTTCAGACTTAGTCCCTGTTTAATACCTTAATTCAAAACATTTCACTGACCTAGCATGCCACTAGCAGTGGGCTGCTGTCACACAGAGCCACATCAGGTCAGCAGAACAACCACAGGGCTCAGACGAATCTCACGAGACCTTCCCACTCCACTCCCTGCAAGAGAGAAGATCAGCTACATCCCCATTTGGGAGCAGGGGAAGGAGCGAAGGGCAAATCTTTCAGAAAGAGCCTCCTTTCAGTAGACCCGACTGTTTCTACTTCATAATTCAGTTTTACAGCAGTAACACCTCTAAAGTTCGATTTAAAACCCAGCCTATCTCCTTTATACCAGAATTAACTACAAAAGGTAGATACACAGAGGGATGTGTCCCATCTGTCATTCCTAATGCAAGTAAACGCTTGGGTGTTCATCCCCCTCCCATGAGTGGAACATTGAGAAAAAAAAAGTCTGATAGCGTAATACAGATTGATGACAAATCAGATCCGTGGCCTCCCATGAGATTAGGTCAAAGTTACTTCAATATATATTGACCAAAACTAATAAGAAAACTTAAATATCAAAAGGTCCTTCACCCTTGGAGTCATTCTTCTAGGTGGGACGCAAAGGTCACACCCCCATACGTCTGGTTTGACCCCTGCGAAGCTCGGTACACTGTGTGAAAACAGGCCACCAGCTACAGTTTATCTCAAATTTAGTGCAATTGATCTCTGCTTTCAAAGCGCTGAGCTTTGTACATAAATCCTAGTATGAACTCTTACCCTTGGAAAGCAGCAGAATGGTCTCATTTTCTTTGAAAATGCTAAATGAATTTTAAAAGCCAGACGGGTCAGTACGTAGCCCCAGAAGGGGAAAAGCCTATTGCTCCTAAAGCACTGCTGTGAAAGGTTTTAAGACGAGACCTCCACAGAGCCAAGGAAGATTAAAAAAAAAAAAAAAAAATGCAATAAATTGGTGTCTAGTTTGCAAAGTTTAGGCATAGTAAACCACACAGGAAGTAAAAGGTAGGACAGGAGACCAAAGAACTAATCTACTGCTGCAAGGAGAGAGCAGATGGAACAAGTCCACAACAAAGAGCGCCCGAGTTATTTACTGGCACCCTATTGAAGTGTGAGCACTCAAAATACAGAAATACGGGGGCACAGAGTTCATGTACATTCACACAACAGAACTGAGTTTGGAAATAGCGCAAAAATTCATATTCTCCGAGAAAAAAGCAAGCTGATGAATCACCCAGACTACATAAGAGGTGGTTGGAGGCCAACATAACAAATACGAACAGATTAGATGGAAAGGTGTTAGCTTAGCAGCCCTGAGACTTCAAAAAACCCTGAGAGCAACATGCCCAGACAATAAATGAACAGGGGGCACCCTGCAAAGCTCTCCGCCTCACAGCCACCTCTCCTTTTGCTTTTTAATTACTTGTGTTCTCAAACAAAAGAGAGACCTTATGGAAAACACGCTGCTAGCAGGACATAGCCTGAGACTGCTCTACTGGAGTGGATGGCCAGCTCCTCGTCATGTCACAGAGCAACTTGAAAATCAGGCCTAGCTCTGGATTAGTGGGTAACAGTGTTTTCTCAACTGATTTTTTTAGTTCAGTCCAGGATGATAAGTGGCTGGAAAAAAGGGAGAGAGAAATAGGAGATTCAAGTGTGAGCTTACAACATTACGGTACCAACAAAAGGACACAGGAAGAAGGTAGAGGAGTTGCACAGATTTGTGCCCAGAGCACACGCTATCAGAGAATCACAGAATGTCCTAGGTTGGAAGTGAATGGACCTCAGAGATCATCTGATCCACCCCCTGCCATGGGCAGGGACGCCCTGAACCAGCCCAGGTTGCTCACGGCCTCATCCAACCTGGCCTTGAACATCTCCAGGGAGGGGGCAGCCACAGCCTCTCTGGGCAATCTAGTCCAGAGTCTGGCCACCCTCGCACTCAACAATTTCTTCCCAAGATCCAGCCTAAACCCCTTCTCCTTCCATTTAAATCCATTTCCCTTGTACTGTCGCTGGACACTCTTGTCCAAAGTCCCTCCCCAGCCTCCCTGTAGGTCCCTTCAGGCACTGCAGGCAGGGATAAGGTGCCCCCGGAGTCTGCTCTTCTCCAGCTGAACACCCCCAGCTCCCTCAGCCTGTCCTCGGAGCAGAGCTGCTCCAGCCCCTGGAGCTTTGTGGTCCTGCTCTGCACTTGTTCCAACAGATCAATATTCCTCTTATGGCGGGGACACCTATCAAGGGGATGCAACGGCAGAAAGTCACATGAAGAGAGACTTCACCTGTCTGATCTTGTTGCGCGAGTTGGTGATGCGCTCGGTGATGCTCTGGTAGGTGCGGATGGCCGTGGTGAGCTCGGTGTAGTGCTGCACAATGAGCTCGTCCAAATCCCGGTCACATTTCTCATAAGCTTCTTCCAGGCGGCCTTTCTCAGTCTCTCGGTCCTCAACGTCATCACTGGTAGATAAAGTTCTAAGGAAAAAAGATCACAAAAATGGGGATATTTTGAAATTATCTGTAAGAACTGGAAGACTTTAATTGAAAGAAATACACCACCTACCGCAAAGCGGTCACTCTTACTGGTCTGTCCACTTCACTGGGTGAAGCTTATTTCTGGTAAACGTGTCGGTCTGGTGTTCAATAGAGAACAACATATTTAAGTAAACAAAAACCCCCATGAACACTGTGTGCTCTCACTTCCCCGATCTTCAAATGCCTCCAAGTTTTTTACTCTACTACCAAATGTATGAAAAGGGAAAGCTATCAATTAGTTACCACATTTCCAGAGAGTCATTAATAAGGGCACAGCGTAACATTTGAAATACATCCTGATTTACTACTTACAAAGAACAGCAGAGAAGAAATTCTACTTTGGACTTGAAGACCAGAGCAACTATTTGTTAGAAGCTTGGTAGTTACTACTGCCCACCTGCCAAAGGTACCCTACAGTTACTGCAAGTACCCAGGGAAATCCATGAAAAGCCTGCCCAGGCCTTCCACCAGTCAGTCTGTTCTCAAACACACACCTGTACAGCAAAGAAGTGTCACCGGCCCTTATTTCCACCCAGACACAAATTTATTCTAAGTTCCAAGTACTATCATCCAGCAAGAATTTAAGGTTGCTTTTTCACATCAATGAAGTTTGAGATTTCGGTGAAACTTTAATGACTAAAGCTTCTTGGTGTCACTCCAAATTTCTACTCAAGAACCAACGCGAGCTTCCCTTTTTCCCCCCTCTCATCACGCCGCTCACCCCCTCGAGACCCATCCTGCCACGGATCCAGAAGCCCTCGAACGACTCCATGGCACGAAAAGAAAGACCCAGGAGACAGCATCAGTCAAAAAAGATACATCGTTATCTCAGAATCACCAAATTATTGCAGCTGGAAAAGACCTCCGAGATCATCAAGCCCAATCTCCTCCAGCAGGTAGCACTCAAAAAATTAGTTTGTTCCAAAAAAGTACCCTGCATATCCTCTTCCTTGATCCTCAGAAGGGCAGTTACGGTCCGTACAGGTTTCTGTTTTAAATAAGCAATACAGACATTAAAAATTGTATACTCCCTGATCAAAAAAGAGAAAATTTGTTTAGGATCAGTGGTGGTAGTTAAGATCTAAACACTGGTACATCACAACCTCAAGAAGCAGCAGGGATGAATTCTACCCTGCTACTTCAGTCAGCGTCTGAACCACTTTAAAGAATTTAGGATGAGAACATAACCAAAAATAAAGATTTTTTAAAAAATTTTAAAATTCAGTGCATACAAACTGTTTTGAGTTGTATCCTTAGAACATCCTGAAATAATCACAACTTCCAAAGAAATACAAAGCATCTATTTGCTGAAAGTGAGCTGCCTTTAAAAATACAACCTGTAGAGCACGAACACGTGAAAATCATTATTTATTTTAATTCCCAGAAGTTTAGGCCTCTTAACTGAGGCACAGTCTGACAATGGTGCTACACCGAAAGAGCATAAAAGACTTTAAGGGCCATTGTTTGCAACCCTACAGACTGTGAAAAAACATGTTGTCAGGAGTAAGGAAGAACTTCTCGATTTGCTACTGGATTTCTTAAGCTATTTGTGTGGAAAAGGTCAAACAGTTGGAAGGAGTCAAAAATCTCATTGCTGAACGGTGCTGCCATCACAGCTTTCACTTCGGGTTTGTTAAAAGCAGGAAGGTCCAGTCAAACTAAACCCAGTATCTCCTGCTGTCATGTAAGAAAGAAAATATCAATTTTCCTTGCAAAAAAAACCAGTTACTTGTCCCCCGTGGTACAAGTTAGAAGGCGAAAACTGCCTGCACGCTGCTGAAAAATAACAAAAGAGAGAAACCTATTTCCTCATGGTTTCTCTAAGCAGGACATCAGAAGGGTTAGTGGTTGATAGGTTTTTCTGAATTCTTCAGTACCATGAGGAATGTAAGCTGGAACTCAAGTGCAAAAGCTCTTCTCATAAATAGAAACAAAGTAAAACGTATGAGAAATGCTCGTTCTCCTAAAGTCAAGAGAGACATACCCAAAATTTCCAGTTCGCTAATCTTTCTCCCCTTCAGAGAAAACAGCAGGCTGCACCACCTACTCAAGGAGTCCACCTTTGAAAAGACGAAGAAAAAAGAAGAGAAAAAAGCCATTTCACAAGGGATCCTGATCCCAGGAAGAGCAGCTAAGGAAACTCAAGTGAGCAAGGAAATCTGTCCCACCATATGGAACACGAGAGGAGGACAGGACCACACACACTTGTCCTGCTCAGCTACCACAGAGGACAGAGGAACTCCAGCCAAGGACGGAGGAATTCCAGCCAGAACATATCCGACAACACCCTCCAAGAAGACAGCGTACCCAAGGGATGTATTTTACGTAGTTTTAACACTCCTTTTCACTTTCAGATGGCAGTGGCAGAAGGGTAACAGATACCACAGGGAGAGAAGAGCTCCTCTTGCTTTTGATACGCCTCAGAGTATCGGCCGGGGTGCCGCCGCTCACCCTCCCTCCCCAGTCCCAGGGTACTTCTTCACTCCCTTTTACTGGGGCCGTGGGTGCACCTCTCCTTCCGCACAAAGAATGCGCCGAGACAAGAACTCCTCTCCTCATTCCACTGACAGCGTGGCTTTTTCCCAGACATAAAATCTATTTCTAGCATTTCGGGTTCCATGTTTCACGGTAGCTACAGAAACAGGAATGCTTTCTGATGTTAAGACATTCACATTCTACTTCCAAATATTCTTAGTTGTGCCTTAAACCTCATTTTCACACAAAAAAAAGATATTTTTCTTCATTTGTACTCTATGCAATGCACTCTGTATCATGCAAAGAGAACCTTGAAAGTAAGAACAGCAGTGCTTAGGTTAGAAAATAAGCTTGATAAAATGAGTTTGAAGAAATCCGAGTTAGAGCCTCTGCTCGACCGCAGACTTGTGACTTGGTGCTTGCAGCACCCTCACACTGCAGACGGCGTCCTGACAGGAGAGCGTGAGCTACGTCCAGCTCTCGGATACTCCAGGCTCCTGACGTAAATAACCAGCTGCGTTTCAGTGAAATGGGCTGAGCAGGCAGATCCGTGTCCTTGGGGCCCAGTTTCTCTTTCTCACCTGGTTCCCCGAACAAGGCAGCTGACACCGCACGCACCGAGCGCTGCCGAAACACTCAACACTGTCAGCAGAGGTCATGGAAAGTCTTCAAAATGACGCAGAAAGATGCGCTAGAAAACAAAGCTAAGCATTCGGTTAATTAAACACGCCGAGGTGGCGAGGTGCAGGGAAGTTTGGGTTCATGCAAGAACAGACGAAAAGAAAGCACGTGCAAAAAGGTGTTTGGCAGTAAATCTTCCTCCCTTAAGAGCTCCTGCAGAGGAATATGCTTTCTTTGAGAAGAATTGCTTATTTTTGCTAGAAGAACGTTCTTCAGCATAGTTGGGCAGGAAGGTGTATCCTCTTTAGGAACTGACATATGGTTTGAGTTTGAAACTGAACAGCATTGCTTGTGTCCCGAGTTAATGACAACATTGATTCTCTCTAACCCATGCTACAGGTCAGAGGAGAGCTGCGGATTGCTACAGACAACGTAGAAGCAGAACCAAATTGGCCTATAGCACAGACTATAAAAGTTTTTCATTTTAATTAAGCAAAATTCCATTCCAGAAGGCCAACCGCATCCTGGGATGGATCAAGAGAAGCGTGGTCAGCAGGTCAAGAGAGGGGATTCTCCCCCTTTGCTCTGCTCTTGTGAGACTCCACCTCAAATACTGCGTCCAGTTCTGGTGTCCCCACCATAAGAGGGACGTGGAGCTGTTGGAGCGTGTTCAGAGGAGGCCACAAGGATGATCCAGGGGCTGGAGCAGCTCTGCTCCAAGGACAGGCTGAGGGAGCTGGGATTGTTCAGTCTGGAAAGAGAAGACTTC